CATTGCGCGTGTTCTATAGCGTTTTATGTCAATTGCTGACGTCATTAGAATTTTCCATTTGAGAAAAACAATGCGCTATATCTCTTTATTTTGTCTGGTGACCTATGTTCAAATTTTGCATGCTGTATTGCACCGCTAAAAACTTTCATTATACAAAAAATAAAAAAATTCTGTAATGCCAAAAAAAATTTACCGAAGAATATGACATTTTCGCATTTTCCAAAAAAATGGCATTACAGAATTTTTTTATATTTTGCTAATTGTTAGCTTTTCGTCCAAGTACAATAATGCAAGAAAAAAAATTGGGGGTCACCATGCTTCTTTTCCAACTATACGAGACGAAAGGCCATTTTGGAGTGTATTTTGTACACGTATGTCGTCATAGCAACGAACTATCTGTTACTAAAACTAATATAATTTGAAAGTAGAGATATCGAAATATATAAAAAATCCAATATCTGCTGAATATATTCTAAAAATTTATAGTTTGAACATTTCAAAGTGTTGAACACCTGAATTTTTGAAAACTGTATCGAGCCACCTTAAAACGCATTTTGAGTTCATGAGCGAGAAATTTGTTAAGTGTTTTATTAATGGTCCAAATATCAGAAAATTTGCTCAATTGTAAGTTCTTTAAATAGCTGCTGAAACTTTCATTTTTTGGCACCAATGCCTATCACGCATGCTTGATTCATGCATTTACCTAATTTGCACATAGTTATAATTAATTGTAAAAAAAGTAAAATAACAACACGCTGGAGCCAATGGATGGAGCGTGTCTGAGAGAGAAGCGGAAGCAGTTCTGCTCATAACAAAGGGGAACCCCCAGATATTAACAATGCTCAAATTTTGCATCTTTCGAACGTTTTTGAATTGAATTGAAACGTACAGTTCATATTCATTTACAAGTACAGCGAACCAGAAAAGTGTTAGATATTCAGCTGGTATATCATATTTTACAAATATAGCAGTTCAAAACGTAAACAAAGTTCGCGCATGTGCACAGGAGTGGACATCATCTTTAAGACATCTCAGTTAAGACATTTCAGTTAGTATCGCATGGAAATCTTATTGTAATACATCAAAATTTAAGTTTAATAGCGTTTTCTAGATACGAGAATAACATTTGAGCGCAATACTTATTCTCACTGATGAATCAAAAAGCGTCACTTTTGACCCCATTGAACCCTTAAGCCAACGTATAGATACACTATACCACGATTTCTTTATTTCTGGAACACATATTTCCGCAATCCCCGATTCTCAAAAACCGGCCCTATAATTCCCCGATTCCCTGAAAATTACACTAATGCATGTACTGTAGCATGAAATTAATTGTATTCAGTGCATGTCGTACCTGTGTCAAAGACAAGTGATCATCTAGTTCCTTGCCTTGATACATCAACGTCTGGCAGCTGGGATGAACACCACAATAGCTCGCAAACTCCTTCTTGATATCACTGACCGAATAATTCTTAGATACGAATGGGTCTATCTGGTATCTTTCGAATTCTTCACCAAACACTTGGATGTAGTGGTAAAATGGCATAGGCATAACTATGTCATGGCAGTGCGAGAATAATATCTTTATGTCTATTTTCTGAGGATAGACTTGACCACGTCTTGTCGACATAGCATACTGAAAAGCATCGTCTTTGGACTTGATATCTGGGCCAAGATGCGCCGAAAATCCAGCCGCAACGTACGTCAAAGTAGTTGACATATCTTTCGTTGCCGTTAATGTAAATCCTGGTTTATTAAACCAATAACGACAAACTAAAACAACAATTGATTGAAAGAATATAAATGAACATAACAGAAACGGCCTGTTTCCCTCCGACAAGAAATATAATATGAAGCTTACTCCGAGGAATAATAGTATCTTGGGCTCTCACGATTTGAGGTATCATTTCGATTTCATTTCAAAATCATTTTCAAAGCAGCTATCGTGTATTCTTGTAGATACCTCTTGTATCTACCGCTAAAAGCCCAATATGTACCTACCGGTAAAAGCCCAGTATGCTATTATTCGGAGTATTTTTCATGTTATAATTACAGAAGTATGCATATAGTTTGCTTTTATATGTTTTCAACTAATAGTTTTAAACGCGACTCACCTTAAATTGAAGTTTTAAAATTTCCGTCTTGATTCCAAGGACCAGTAGAGAAAGTAAAAGTAACAACATATTAAACGCGTAAGCGTACGATTTCCGGCTTTCATACTGCTTACTTAGCTACTTTTTCTTTTGACGGAACAAATACTCGTGGATGATGGTCTGCCGTGAGTGTATGATGATGGTCTGCCGTGAGTGATGATGGTCTGCCGAGAGTAAAAGTCGAGAGTCGAGGGTAAAAGTCGAGAGGCGAGGGTGAAAGTCGAGAGTCGAGAGTAAAAAGTCGAGAGTCGAGAGTAAAAAGTCGAGAGTCGATCGAGAGTAAAAAGTCGAGAGTCGATCGAGAGTAAAACGTCGAGAGTCGGCAAATATGAACAACACATTGGGGGGTCAAAATATTTTTAACACAATATATAACCAATCCGTAACAACGGCTGATTATAGCCGTTCGGGCGAGGGGGGGCAGTCCTGCCCCCCAGTCAAAATAAAGTCATGCAAATTATAAACGTATAAATTCGGGCAAAAATTGGGGGAAATAAATTTAAAAAGAAGACAGTACATGCAATATGGTATTTGAAAATACCAGAAATATGTAAACGGTAACGAGGAATCGACAAATAGGAAAATATTTTTGTCTACTTCCCAACGACAATTTTGGAAATTTAGTTACACGGAAAATTTTATTCAGTGGGTAAAAGTCGGGTAAATTTTCTTTCTGGCTCCCTGATTTTTTCCCGCCCGTACGCCTATGACGGCTGAACTAATTTCATTTCCTGTCAAAATTAAAGTAAACAAGACGCATATACAATCAATGGAATAATCCAGTATAATATAAAACAAAAACTTTCGAAAAAATTTAGCCACAACATTCAATAATAATAACTATTATCGAATAACTAGTTTTATCGCTTCCTTATATATACTGCATGTCCATCCTTTCCGCTTTTACATGCACCTATTTCCGCGAAAAATTACTCATATGTGAAGCTACATATAAATACTAGGACTTTACAATCACGTGCGGCGAGACATATTACGACAAAAGAATCTTATTTTTACTGGCTCGTATTTATGACGGAAATTCACTTTTTCCAGTGGGGGGCAAAGCCTCCTAAATTTCCGACAAAACTTTCAAATTTCCGACGTAACCCTATTTGCACCTGTTTTTAGCCCTCTTTTAGGTAAAAATTTCCGAAAATTCGAGTTTATGTGTCAGTTAGAATGAAATGTGAAAACATTTAGCAAGATTGAGGCATCAAATGCGATATTATTTTCTTATCCAATCTTTTCTGTTCACGTTGTTCACGTTATTATTATTGACTGTTGTAGCAATATTTATTGGAAAGTTTGTATTTCAGCCGTTGGTACTTGTTACGGAATGGCTATGTAAAGCTATTTATATTTAACAATTAGTCGCCGAAGGCGAGGTGATTACAAGCCTATATTCACTGAGCCGAAGGCGAAGTGAATATAGGCTTGTAATCACCGAGCCTGAGGCGACTAATTGTTTTAGTATAAATTTCCAGGTGTTTACAAACAATAATCCACACAACTTTATAAAAATTCTCTTCAAATAAATTTATTTTCGCTATAAATAGTTTGTTTACAATCTCAGACACGGCTCTGTGTCGCGTTGCGACTAAGTCAGTTTTTTTCCAAATAAAAGCACGTAAAGTTTAATATTTTACCTTGAAATATTTTTAAACCATATTTTGTAGCTTGTTTGGGTTTTTTCGGAATGCTATCTTCTTTAATTTTGGCAATTTCCTCTTCTGTTACTACGGCAAAACGAGCAGCCATTTTGAAAAAAAAAGCTATAGTCACTGACCAGTGACTATCACTTCAGAGACGGTGAATCTTGACCAATCAGAATGCAGAAAAATCAATAGTCACCTGGAAATTTATACTAAATATATATAGATTGTGTTAAACGTGGTTAAAAATATTTTGACTTTGTTGTTTCTGATGACATTTGCCGACTCTCGACTTTTTATTCTCGATCGACTCTCAACTTTTTATTCTCGATCGACTTTTTACTCTCGATCGACTCTCGACTTTTTACTCTCGACTCTCGACTTTTTACTCTCGACTCTCGACTTTTACTCTCGACTCTCGACTTTTACTCTCGACCTATACTCTCGACTCTCGACTCTCGACTTTTAGATACACTCGTCTGCCGTTCATAAAATTAATTCTTGACATTGTCGATTCCCAATCTACTGACGTATCACTGACAGGACAACGCAATGGGGCAACGTCGTTTAAGTTCCTCCATTTATGAAGGAGAGTTTCAGATAAATATTTTTCTGTTTGTCATCATTACGTGCTTTATTGCGTATAGTTTGTCTTGTGACGGCTTTATTAAAGGGGCCCTACAGTATTTTTTTAGTCGAAAAGCCACCTTAAGTAGGGACTCCACGGAGATTCGTTTGGCTGTATCTTACATGCAGTATCCACGAGAATGAGTTCTTCGCACACCGGAAAACGCATGCATGCCGTAGTACGCCTTTAAGGTAATTCCGCAGTAATTGTTCCCGAAATGAGAATGTGCTGAAACTTCCCAGGCATGGAGTTTATGATATACTTAAAGACAAAGTAAAATCACACAAAAAAGTCGAGGTCACCGAACTCGTTAAGAAGATATGACAATCACAATATACCACCTTTACCCCAATATGGCGCTACCTTGACGCTTATTACGAATAACAGCAAACTCAAAACAGCCCGATATTTATTGACGTTCTAGCGCGGATTTTGTTTTAGTAAACCTAATTATTTGTAATTATTTTGGAAAAAATATTGTGTTTTGAGCTAAAATGAAACTACTAACGTGTACAATTCTGATCCACAAATGTCTTTTCCACATTTCTTTACATATCTTTCTTTGAGAACATGCATTGATAAAGGATTTTTTTTCAAGATCCAAAAATGATTTTTCTTTTAATTTCGTATATGAAATATAAAATGCATTAAAGAAATAAATTATCAGTTAAAAAACGGGGGTCACCAATCATTTTAGGGAATTGTGGCATTAAAACGTGAAATACAAGTAAATAAATATACTACAGACACAGGAACCCTAGCTACACTTTTGTATGCGTTTTTTGAAAACATTGATTTTAACGTAATTCTTTGCACGAATGTAACCAAAGATGTTTTGAAGTAACATAAAATTGTCATAAAATGATATTTTGTTTTAAACGGTACGTATAATAGATGAAATTATAAGTTATAAGATGTGCGCAGTAAAAGTGCGCAATGCAAAACTGCGGAATTACCTTAACAAACTTCCAGCCAGAATATCCACTATTCACAAAGTAACATGCATGCAATGCATGTGGAGACTTTACGTACGGGTTCGTTACAAAAAGTGGGGTCCGGACGTAATGGCCCTTCTGGTTTCACTCACACGAATTGCCCGTTTCGATGCTACTGAGCCATGGCTATCCCACGGCCGGGGTGATGCATTTGCTGTGAATGGACCTATTCCCTAATGAACAAAATTTTGATCTAGACAAAAATCAACCTCGTACCCAAGAGGAAAAAAATTTCATCACAGTTTGAAAGAACATCACAAAATTAGTAATAAAATTAGTAAGTTTCGTTGTGGAATTTTGTAAAATGCGGATAATATAGCGCGCAAAGTTTGCCGTTTTTCAGTCATTTTGTATTACGCACGGGAAATTGATACCGCTTTCTGAAAAAGGTATCAATTTCCCGCGCGTAATATATTAAGTGTATAATTATAAATAATTAGGTATATATAAATTATTATTATAGTATAAATTCAGGGAATTATTCAATATAATGATTACAGTAAACTCTCAATTTCCTTGAGGCTGATGTAATTTTTCATATCTTGAGAAATAAATGGACCAGGTATGGTATGATATTCCGGCCATTAGGCAGCAATATGCCTTAAATACATGTTGCTGCCTAAATGCATTATCTTATTCAGCTGCAATGCGTCCTACTTATTTTTTTACTTGTCTAATGCCAAACAATTTTACTTGACGAATGGGAAAACTCTGCAGCTTATTGGGTTAACCAAAAGCTTAATGGGTTAACCAAAAATTCCTACAATGTCTCTAGTTATAACACAATGAGCTGCAATGCACCACAGCACGCCCTAATTATTTAAGTCTAACGCCAGACGAGACAGTTCCGGCTAGAACAAGTTCTGGCTAAACTGCTCTTAAAACCTTGAATCATAACTTACTGATTAGTGTTGATATTCAAACATTGTGCAGCTTTTGTAATGAACTGAGAGTAACTGTCCAACACTGCTTCATCATTGCCTTTTATTTCAATGTTAACTTCAGCAAATAATCTTTCATCATTCTAAAATAAACATTATTAACCCATTGAGTGGCAACTCTCTTCCCTTGACAAGTAAAATCATCTGGTGTCAGACAGAGTAAGATAATAAAGTAGGGTGCATCAGGGCGCATTGGCACTTAAAAGGTTAACACAGGTGTTATATACAGGTTGTATAAAAAAAAACTGAACAGATTTGAAATTGCTCTCAATTTCGCAAAACACCTATTTGTATCTGGTTTTTTATATACAGTACCGTCCAACGGAAAATATACATTTTTTTCGAGCGAGATTCGAGCGAGTTTCGAGAATGTTCGAGCGAGAAACGCGACGCGAAAGCTTGCGAGGGGCGTTATCGCGACCTCTCGCTCGTTACGCGCAATGACTCGCTCGAATAATTTGTTTACTGCTTTCGCGTAATCGCGAAACGCGCTTCGCGAATCGCGCTTCGCGCTCGATAAATCGCTTATGAGCAAAAACTTCATGGCAGCGAAAAATATAAAAGGCTAGTTATTCAACATACATGTCGGCGTATGGAAATCTTACCTTGTTTTTTCAAAACGATTGAGGCACAAGATATGGTTTTAAGACGCTGTCTTGCTTTTACGTTTTATAAGTATAGATGTCTCGCAGCACTGTCGGTACATAAATTATTCACAGTTTCACTTTAGGCTTAGCGAAGCGTCGAAATTCGAAAATGGCATGAATCGCGGTAATTCTTTCAATATTTCAAAGCCAGATAATTTATAAACAAACCTTTGTGATAGAAACTGTAACAGCTTGTCGAGTTGTCGATGCTCGCAGAGTCAGTTGAAACGCCATGTCAATGAAGCAGTAAAACACAGATACACGTGTTTTAATTTAAAGATTCAAACCGAATGAATGCTTTGCCTTTGAGGAAGTGAAATTATTTTAATTACTCAATAACAAAACGGACAAAAAGCCTGTATCAACCTTAATGATCCATTAATAACCGATTAATAACAATATGAACTAAAAATAAAGTATGATAACAAAAATAAAGTATGACAATATCAACTACATAAAACTAAAATATGAGGCGTGTTGTTTTACACCCGATCAAAATACGCGCCTTATCCGAAATGAAAACATGT